GGTTTAGGGTTTGAGGTTTTTGTTTTCATGGGGTTTTGGGTGTGGGGTATACAGGGACAGTTTCTTTAGCCGTTCTCGGAGTTGTTCAACGTCACGTGGGGTATCTTTGAATAACATGGTAAGGTAATGACTAGTAATGGGGGGTTTCCATAAACAGGGGGCCCTTGTGTAGGATTTTCTTATATGAAGGAGTTAACTCTCCTGTCCAAGTGGGTTAAATAAATTCCCCCAAAACTGACGTTCACCAAAATGGCTACATGGGGATTGTCCTAAATTANNGGTTCCTATTATAGTACGGGGCCCTATATAATTTCCCCCATTTTGGGAACAGTAATTTAGGGAAACTTCCACATGGACTTCCATGATCTTCCATGTTTCCTTCCGGGAGTGCAGAGGCGCAAGAGGTGATTACTCAGAGGACAGGGTTTGGGATACACTCCCGGAAACTCACATGGAAATCTAAAAAGGGCCCAATAAAGACTACAGTCCTTCTAAAAGGGTACTATATGGGTTTCCATGTTAGTTTGGGGGAGTGTAGTTATGCGCGGGGTTATCAGTACCCCAAATATGATTACAAGTAGTTTTAGCTACAGCTCTCCTGCTTGCAAGTTCAACTCCCACTACCCGTGCACCTCCAAGGGGGTTGGAGGTTGATTAACGGTTTTAGGCAGGAGGGTCCAGAGAGGGGGGTTGAAGGGGGAAAAAAATTGGTGGCTCGGTTAGGCTTGGGACGTCCCAGACACCTAGAGCGAAGCCTCACCTTCCTATTCTAGGACAAGCATAGGTGTAAGCCTATGTCATAGTGAGGGCTCACGGGTAGTTGCAAGTGTATCGCTGAACGCACGCCAAATGATGTAAGACTTCTAATTACCCTGTTTACTAGTGTGCTTCAAGCTGCGCATGAACTTCCAAGCAGATTTTGAGCCCTAAACCCTAAACCCTAAACCTGTATAGTCCAGTCCCAGGCTTTGGTCCCCTGTCTTTGGCAGGTTAAGCCCAAAGACTTTGTGATGAAAGGAATTTGGGTAACGCCAAACCTTGAAATCGGGATCATATTATAGTCATTTCATAGCTACAGGGTCCTGCTGTTTAGGTGGGGGGGAACCAAGATTCCCCCATTATTGAGCGGCGGCTTGCTAAACCCTAACCCCTAAAACCCTAAACCCTAACCCCCAAACCATCAAACCCCAAATGAAGATGATTTCCGGCGAAGGTCTTGTTTCACTTGGACCCTTAAGTTGGGCCCTAGGGTTTGGAGAGGCCTAAGAAGGGTTAATAGTGGCCTATGTAGCGGGTATGCATGGATTAAGTACGTATAAGTATGTGTATCTATATGTGTGTGCTTATATTCACATACATATATGCATGTGTATGTGTATATACTTATATACTGTTTTAGACTTCGGGCTCCGCCGTACATCCTTTGAGTAGATCATTTGCAAGAGGTGCCTAAGTGATGGATACTCGAGGAATTCCAAGGTCCTTACAAAGGGCCTTTACCTTTCTCCTGGGTCCTAGCTATGGGCCCTGAATTGGGCTTATAAATTTGTATACAGCTCGCGGGCCCATATCCCTACATTACACTCATTACATTTCTGTGTGAGGCAAAGCCTCAGCCCCAATGCCCGGCGGCTGTGCCAACTTGCCGGACGGCGTGAAGTCCGGAATTGTGAAGTTGCTCCATCTGAATCTGTCAGGAAGGGTGTAGCTTTTAGTTGTTGAAGCTTGAAGGGGTTTAAGGATTTAAAGGATTTATAGTCCCTCTTAAGTAGATAGAATATGGCTTTGAGCATATTATAATAAGATCCCCATATACCCCATATTCTATCTACATAAGGGGGACTATAGGGGTTTAGAGACATGGAGAGGACCCTTGACCTCCCTGCTCTGCAAAGGAGTCTTCGCAAACCCAACCCCCAAAAGCGGGACCTTATGGTAGTCACGTGGTATTCATAGGATACGACCCTTAGGTTGCGCGGTGGGTAGGCGGTCTTTCATTGCAGGTCTCCACGGTTTTCAGGGCTTGGGGGATCAGGATTACCTGACCTCAACCCTTCCTCGTGACCATCAGGTACTGAGATTTTTCCAAGCTATGGAATCATGGAATTGTCTGTGGAATGAGGGTCTGCTTACGTGAAGGGGCGCACTTCCCCAAACTGACAAGGAGACCTATGTGGGCCCTTACAAGGGCAGAAGTCTTTGTTGTCAGGACTAGGAGAGCGAGCTTTTTCCTTTCTGCGCTTCTGGGGGAGGAGGGCACTGGGGGAATAGCGTTCATGCTTGAGTTTTCAGGTCCTTGCTTGGGCTACTAAGGTGAGGCCTGTAGTGTTTCAGCAGATAAGAGGAGCCTAAATTCCAAAAATGCCCGAAGACTACCTCAAACGTGGGATCTCTCTGCTAGGGACGCTCAGCACAAGAACAAGCTTTTGAGCAATCTCCATTTGTATAAAAACGTGCATTAATAGTCAGTTGTTGTAAGGATGGGTGACGCAGGCAGTTGCATCTTTACAGGCGGCGATCTGGGTAAACCCTAAATACCCTAAAGCCTAAACCCTTGACAGTGGGAGCTGCATGTGGGCAGTAGACATGTGAAATCTATGAAGCTAGCTCTATGCGGCAAGGAAGGGCCGAAGACAGGGCGGGCCTAATAAAATAGAAATAACAACGATAGTGATAATAGTTATATTAACAAGACTAACCATGTCATAGTAATAACATCGGCTGAACAGTGGAAGGCTTGATTATTAGCGTGGAGGGGATTAGTAGTGGTGACGGTTGTGCAGGGATCTCTTGCATACATCAGATGAGAATAGGTTCTCAAAGCCCAGAAATACTTACTAGTGGGGAAGAAGGGAATATAGTCCCTATATGATCTTCATATTGCCTGGTCCCTTATTCCCTACTAAGAACCAGTAAGAATGAGTACAAGCCTGTGAGACTACTCCAACTGTGCTGCTCAGATTCCCTGCCTGCAGCCGAGGCTTACTGGTTCTTAGCAGTAGGGTAAGGAATATAATATGTATATATATATATATGCAATGCAGGCATTCCATAGGGATCATATTCCCTTAGTCCCTACTAACCGGCAGTAAGTCAAACGGGAGCTTCTCAGGTCTAGTCAGGATTTAAAGAGGGGTTTAGACAAGTAATGGTTGCAAGGTTCTTCCACGATGAGAAGGGCTTTGGATTCATTAAGCAAGACGATGGCGGCAACGACCTTTTCGTCCACCGCAACTTTTCTGAAAAATTGTTGCTCTCGACCCTAAAGCCGCAACCCTAAACCCTAAGCCCTAAACCCTCTGGAAGTTGCATGCTTCGGGCCCTGAGCAGCTCTTCGTCCTTCCTTCGCAAAACTGCTTAGGGTTAAGGGCTTAGGGTTTAGTTTAGGGTTCAGCTTAGCCTGCCAATGTCGCTGTCAGCGCGGAACAAGCTTGTTTAAACTATTTGGCCGGTTAACTTGCTCGTTGTTGGAAAGGCATGCAGGAGCCGATCCTGGTAGCAGTCCTTCTAGAATCCCCAAAGATGGAGCCCTCTGAATCCTGCATACCACATGCGTGTCCCTAGGAACCAGTCTTGTCTTGCTTTCACATGTGATTTGACAATCTTTACTAGCAATTAGCAAGTTATTTGGAGAAGGGTGTTCTGCCAGTAATACTGGGTTGCTGTCTTGGAGCAGTCACTACTTTGACATATGAGGAAACCAAACCCCAAGTCATTACTACTGCAGTTCTTGCTATTGCTATAGCTATGTTTGTTACTTTTCTTGCCACTTTATACAAAGTATAACTATCATTATTACTACTGTTGCTGTTTCTCGTGCAGGCATACTTTGGCAGCTTAGTTGACGTGCTTACATTCTGGAAAAGGGTTGAACATTTTAAGCAGCTGAGGGGTCAGGATTGGCACTGCTACGCAAAATTCTTAGCCCTAGCAACTGTCAGTACTAGGGTTCCTACGGGACTGTTGGTTGAAGGTGGATGTTGGGGTCCTTTTGGTGATGATCACATGGCTTGCAAATTTCGGCGTCGGCGGGGTTTATCTGAGGCAACGATGTCATCGACACCCTGTTGAACGAGGGCGATCACGTGCAGTACAGCGAGGCGGTTGATAACAGAAGTGGCCGAATGAAGGCCCACCAAGTTACAGGAGGATCCGGTGCACCAAAGCCACCCCAAGAGAAGGGTGCAGGAAAGGGAGGCAAGGGCAAGAAAGGAGGCAAAAGATCCCCTCCCAACGAGCCCAGCCTCCCGAACCCTATGCCAACCTTGCCGGATGTCCCGACCCAAGAAACCAGCCTTTCCCAGAAGATGGGCCAGCTCGGCTCTCTGACGGATGCTGCAGCGATGTTCGGATGCAGCAACCCAGCCATGCTGATGGGCAAGGGAGGCTTCCCAAGCGCATGCTGTGGGTGCAACCCATGCGGTGGGTGCGGTGACACCCAGAACAAGATGGGCTGCTGTGGAGGCTGTGGTTGCGGCGGTCTCTGTGGTGGCTGCGGCTGTGGAGGTTGCGGAGGCGGTGGCTGCGGGGGAGGTTGCGGCGGGTGTGGTAGTGCCTGTGGGGGATGCGGAGGTTGCGGGCAATGCATGGGAGGCTGCGGAGGCAATTGCGGCAACCTGTCGATGAGCGGCAACAGCTGCAATGCGGGAGGCTGTGGGTGCGGGTGCAGCAGCGGTAATGCGTGCAACACGCCCTGCAACCCTGGGAGCGCTCCTTGTCTCAATAGATGTTCTCAGGCCGTTTCGTGCCGTTTGGGTGTGAGTGCAGCTGAGAGAAGGAACTGCAACTTATAGCATTGCTTTTGCAAAGAGACCTTGTGTCTAGCATGTATGCAAGATGCCATCACACTCCTCTGAGCCCGACGGTACTTCTGATGGAGCGGTGGCCGGAGGGAGCCTTGTAGTGCGCCACTAGCCTGGGAGCCATAAACCTTGCTGTTGTGAGGTACAAAATCATAGGATAATGGTAAAGAAAATGGAAACTACTGTAGCATATTGGGGTTATATAGGGATAATGGAAAAGAAAATGGAAACTGCTGTAGTATATTGGGGTTATATAGGGATAGATGCGACTGGCTTTCCAAACCCCAAAGCCCAATCCCTAAACCCTAAACACAGTATCCTTATTACCTCCTTCAGCCAAGCCTACGGGAAGCCTAGTTTGAGAAACTCCCATGTCAGCTAGAGAGGTCTGAAGACGGATTCCTCCACCCATGGGTACTTCTGGGCTATAGGCTTAGAGTTTAGGGTTTAAGGCTTAAATTGTTTAGGGTTTAGGTGGGGGTACAAGTACCCCGAGCAAGGATTATAACTGGTTGTAATTCACAGTTCTCCTGCCTAGAATCCCGTGGCAACTGTTTGTTCCAGCGGACCCCTGAAAATCCTTCTGGCTGGAACCCTAAACCCTAAACCCATGCCCGCAATCTTCATGCCCTAGTCTGAGCCAAGGGGAAGAACATGGAATCGTCTTGTTGTCAGGGCTGACTCTAAACCCTAAAATTGCTAACCCAGATACTCTAAAGCCTTTCCCGGCTCTGCTTCAACCCTAAAACCCTAACACCCTAAATCCCTGAAACCCCAAAATTCAAAACCCTAACACCCTAAATCCCTGAAACCCTAAAATTCAAAACCCTAACACCCTAAATCCCTGAAACCCTAAATCCCTAAATCCCTGAAACCCTAACCCTAAACCCTAGGAATCCGAAGCATGGCCAACCCTCAGTAAACCCTGAGCCCTCATCTCGAGACCTGAATTCTCAAGGGTTTTCCTAGAAAGGGGTTTAGGGTTAAGGTTTTAGGATTTAGGGTTTAGGGTTTAGGGCACCAGGATCTTTCTCATGGTTTTTTGGTGGGTGTAGATAGGGTTCCTTGAGAATATTGGCAGGTGTATATATGTGGTGTCCACTTTGCCGGAGACCATGGATGAAAATTCCAGGCCTGAACCCTCCTCCGCACATCTTAAATCCTCCAGTCCCCCTTAAGTAGATAGAACATGGCTTTGGGTATATTATAATAAGACCCCCCTATACCCGCATATTCTATTTACTTAAGAGGGGCTATAAACTCTCAAATTCCAGGTAATTTGTACCATTCTTATAGAGCAAAAGCAAAAGCGAAAACTCGGCCAAAACTCCCGAAAACCCTAAACCCTAAACCCTAACAGAACCCTTTACAATTTCTCGCCCTTAACCTTGAACTTACGCCCAGGCTGGCAGCTGCAACATGCCCAGCAGCTGCTGCGGCTGTGGAGGCTAGGGTGTTATTATTATTGTTTTTAGTAATATTATTACTATTATTATTGTTATTAGAATTATTATTACTGTTGTTATTATTGTTATTACTATTTTTTGTAGCGTTTCAGGTCCAGGGATGCAGTTTTATTTTGGGATAATGCAAAATAGAATGGAGACTACTATTTTTGCAACTGTTTATGGGGATAATGAAAATAGAATGGAAACCACTCTTTAGGGTTTAGCGTTTAGGGTGGAGTTTGAGTGTTGGTTAAAGGTTTGGATTTAAGGGCCGTGTTCGGGATACTTTCTGTAGTAGTGAGGCATCGGTTCCATCCTACAACTGCCAAATAGATTTCGCTTCGTTTTTCCCTAGGCTGATTGAGGCTAAGTCAGGATGAGAGTCCACGTACTTATCTCCAGAATTATCTAGTCCTTACTTCAAGTGATCGTCACGTTCTGTACAGGGGCATGGCTCATACGTGCTTTGGGAGAATTGAATCCTTCTGGGTAAGACATACTTGACTAAGCCCCCCCTCACCCTCCAAGAAATGTTCTCAGGCAGAGCCACAGGAGTAAAGGAAAATGGTCCAAGCCCAAGCGGAGGGTTCTAGGGCAGGTATGGAAACTCGGTGTAGCAAACATGGTCATTGTCCTCCTTGCCAGAGGCAGAAGCAGTAGCAGTACAACACAGTTCCTAGGTGAAGGATCGGAAGCCTAATTCTATGCGTATCAATTAGGTGGACCCCCCACCCAGTAATAGTCACTATAGGGGATACTAGGGATTATATTAGGGTCCTCTTATATTCCTATTATACCACTATTGCAGGGTGGGGGGTCCTCCTAACGTATCAACAATGCCAGCAATACGACTACTACCACCAACAGGAATACCAATGCAAGTAGCTTACCTCCCTGGTCGGAGGGAATGTGGCAATGAATCCCTATAGTAGTGCTCATATAATCCCCAATAATAACGCCCATGATCCATTACCCCATTCCCTCCTAAGCACCAGGGAGTTATCCTTTGGAGGCTGCAGTGGTTGCACCGGCTGCGGTTGCGGCTGCGGCTGCAACACTGGCTGCTGCGGTTGCGGAGGCATTCGGCTGTTACCTTGGCTAAGGGCTGAACGACTTGTGCTTGACAATCATCGTCTAGGCGGCACTTTGGAATAAGATCTAACTTCACCTTTGTTGTACGAGGGAACTTATTCATAAATAGTTCGGGGGTAAGCGCCGGTGTGCCTGTCTGTGTGGATGTCACCACCGGCAGTCAAAACCATTGTTTGTGTTCATTCCTGTATGTAACAACTTGTAGGCATCCTTGTTCTTATTGTAAGCATATCTCTTTTAGGCTACGTGAGACAGTCGCACAGGCTGAAATGACAATATGGCATGTCTTTGGTGATTGCAAAGGAAGCGCAAATCTCAACAATCCAAACGGTGCTCGAACCCTCAATCCCAATGATAAGATCCTGAAAATCCAAACTTGAAAAGCCCCAAAAAACAAGAAATCCAAAAGAATTACTATCATGATTGCCATTCGTGTTTCGACATGTACTTACCTGGTCGTAAATCTTACAACAGCGACTAAACAAAACGAGCGTCCGTTTCATTATGCATGTTCTTCTTCAATTCCCCAAAACCCTAAACCCTGACTCCCTATATGATCCCTTCGAGTCACTACCTAAGCCTAGGAAATCAAATTTGCAGGCCTCTAAAGCCCTTGACCCTAGGCCCTTAACCCTTCAAAAAACAAGGTTGCTCGGGGTGTTGTTAAGGAACTTAAGCTAAGTCATTCCAGTAAGGAAACCTTGTTCTGTGGAAAGCATGTTATGTACTACAGACCCCGATTATAGTAGCTTAATTAAATTCCGTTCACATCAACTCAGTCATAGGTGCCATTAGGGCTGACATAGTGACTATTGGTACCCCTAAACCCTAAATCCTAAACCCTTAATCCTCAAAACTAAACCCTAAACCCTGAATACTAAACCCTAAATCTTAAACCCTAAATCGTAAACCCTAGATCCTAAATCCTAGATCCTAAGCCCTAAATCCTAAATCCTAAACCCTACATCCTGAACCCTAAACCCTAAACCATACGAAGCCTCGCAGGCTGCTGTCCGAACTTCAACGCCTGCGGCTGCTCCGGTGCCCCAAACACCGGACTCGGCGGCTGCAGCTTGGGCGGCAACAACTTCGAGGCTCCGTCACCCTTTCGGGTTGCTGTTAGCTAAGGAACGTTTAGGGTTTAGGGTTTAGGGTTTACGATCTAGGGTTTAGGGTTCTGGACTTAGGGTTTAGGATTTAGGGCTTAGGTCTTAGCATTTAGGGTTTAGGGTTTAGGGTTTAGGGCTTAGGTCTTAAGGTTTACGATCTTGCGATCTGGGGTTTAAGGTTCTGGATTTAGGGTTTAGGATTTAGGGCTTAGGATTTAGGGTTAGGGAATGATCCCGAGGTAACCCCTAATGACGCGTATAACTGGGTTGCGGTTTAGGATTTCAAAATTAAGTTACTATAGTAGGGGTCTATAGTTTCTAATAGGGTTTCCTGATTCTAGTAACTTAAACGAAGTTCCGTGACAACAACCCAGCTCAAGTTTAAAGGGGTTATAGGAAATAAAAGGGAATATGCTGGGTTTAGAGTGTAGAGACCACTGATTGTAGGATGAGAAAGTCAAGAGGCCGCTAACAGGGGCGTAAAAAACGGGCGCGTAAGGCCCCCTGGCCCAAACAGG